AAAAAAAAAAAAAAAAAAAAAAAAAATCAGCGTTACTGACTTCTAACTATGTTGCTCAGCGAGGCTGTTCTCAAACTTTGCACACTGGCCTTTAGAAAATAGAACAGGCCAACGCACCAAATTCAAATCTGATGGTTATTTTCTTGACAGCCAACAGTCAGGAAGGTCTCCTATATTGAGATGTAATTTCTTGCCATTTCATGCCATTTCCCAAGTGCACGTCAGCTCTTTTGAGATTGTTTCTTTCTACTTTGTGGAAACATGCCAAACCTGAGAAAGAAAAACCACTGGACTACATTCCAATTTGTTCTAATCCCTTGTGTCTAAACGCCTATTGCAACTTGAGATACGTGAAGATTTCTCTTACAACTTCAGTGTTACACTTATCGTCACCTTCTGGTTCGTTTTATATTCAAGCAATGCCCTTCAACTTAGCAAAGATCCCTTCATTCATGCTAGTTAAAATCACACAGATTGTTAAATGGGCAATTAATGCTTATAATTAATACTGGGCAACATTTTACCAGAAAGCAATTTGATAACCAATTTAATTTGCTTAAGGAATCAGTTATGCCAAAGTAGCAAGGCTGATCTTGTGCACTCGTATTTAGGAAGTGGCATCTCCCAAACAAAATCCAAATTACAAACCCTACCAGCGCCATTTTGATGACAATTGGCATTTGAAAGTAAACAAATTCAATTTTCTCCTTTGCAATTTCAGGTAATTTAGAACAGTTTTGACAAGTGTAATGCATAAACAAATTGAATACAAATACTCATTATGACTAATTTCAGAGTTATGTGCCCTTGTCGGTAAATGGTCAGTTTAAAGTTTATTATTTTTTTTTGGTGGGATAAAATAGAAACCATGAGGTCACATAAGAGGAAAATGGAAAAATCTTATTCAAGAAGGTCATCATGGGCATTCATTCTCTCTTAATACACAGGTCAACTACATTCCTGGAAGCAGGAAGATTGCTGTGCTACCTCTCTCTCTACTGACAACTTGAAAACATCGAATCTATTTGAACTTACAGACTCACTTGTGATATCACCTAAGGAAAACATAAGCCTGAAAATTTTGCTTTCCCATGAAGTGCTGAACGGCCAGCTTTCACTTATCTTGTTTTCTTTTTGGTATATTCTGATCCTCCAGCAAATTCCCACTTAGTGGAGCTCTCTCCTTTTGGAAGACACTTACCTGAGTTATAACTTCCAAGTTCATGTTCACATTATGCCTTTAACCTTACTTAAGAAGTTTCCCTGTTAGCGCATTATTAGGAGGTGGCGTCTTAGGCAAGAAAGGGCATTAGGTAGCCACCCATGTGATTTGCTTACCTATGTCTGGTATCTCTGTTTCTAGGGTGCACAAGGTATCCACGAGTGGCAAGTAAAAGCAAACAGAGAGTCATCAGTGTCATTCAACAAGCCAAACCTAACCAGACACACCTATTCAATTCCTAACTCAGCTTGTGGCTATTAGAGGGACTCCACAGGGATCACTTAGATGTGCAAGCCAATCCCTCCAGATGTGGACCCAATCCCTCCAGGCTGCTCCTCCTAAAATGGTGTCAAGGTGACTGAATATCCTGCTTGGTGGGTGGGCAAAGCTCTAAGGCAGTTTTTTCAAAAAGTTCACTCGGGACCGCGGGACCGTTTTCACTGGAATCGGTTGGGCTCTTGCCACATATGCAGTTTCCCGGGGCTCTCCCCAGTCATATGAATCAGGATCTTGAAGTGGGAGTGGAATTCCCAGGAATTCCATTTTGAACAAACTCAGGTGGTGATTCTGATGCAGAATAAGGTTTAAGAACCACTAGGCTAGGTTTTGAAGAAGTAGCCACTGCAGAGGGTCCGACTGTTCTAGGCTCTATTTTGTTTTTCTGTTTTTTTTTAAATTTTGAATTTTATTTATTTTTTAATACAGCAGGTTCTTATTAGTTACTTTGAAAGCCACTTTATCAAAATGCAAACTCTTTCATTATCAAGTCTTGCGTGCAACAGACATCCCAAACCCAACTTGAAGCCACTTATATGATTGCAGAGATAAGATAGGGACATGTCTTGTGAACATTAGCACATTATTTAGCAATATTAAACAATTTAACAAATTGAAAGTATAAAAGTTTTCTCTTCGACCATGATAGAATGTCCCTGGCATCAAAACTGCTGCCTCAAAATAGCTTCAATAAAACACCATTTACATCAAACTCCTAGGGCCTTGTGTTGTCCAGTTATCCATGCACCAAGCGGGCAACCGGGGTGGGCAAAACAGAACTATGTCAGAAGCAGCAGAACGCTTTGGGGAGCTCCTGATCTGTAAGCCTCTTGGCACAGGGCACTGCCTAGGCTATTTCACTCTGGGACCTGGTATGGGTCTTCTCACCCCGGGAGCGCAGTCCATGGACAGGCCTGACTTTGGGTCAAATCTACCCAGAATTAAAAGGCTATAATCATCTGTGAAATATAGTCATTTAAATTTTAAAATCTTTTTTAAACCTGGCCCTTATGTCATTTTGAAAAATATGAAGATAACAAATCTTTTTATCTAAACTAGAAAATGTCCTTATTCTTTGGAACATCAGGAAAGAAGAAAAGATACAAAATGATTTCTTTTGAAGCCATCTGCAACTACTGATTCAAGTCTTTTTAAAGAGAATCTTTCTGGGATTTTACTAGTTGGGTTATGCTGAGGATCCACTGACTTTTCTGTTTCATGGGGCCACCTCAAAAGGGTGGGTATCCCCTGGGTTGACACAAAAGATCAAAAGGTAAGGGTGGGGAGATGTGATTAGAAATCTGGCCCCAGACATTTGAACCTCTTTGAGTTTTTTTGTCTTCAGACACTTGCTTGTTTTCGTGGTCTCTAAATTACAGGCTGAGTGCGCTTGAGGCTGGCTCTAATCACCATTACAGGGTTGATCTTCCTGAAGGAAGCTGAGTTGTAAAAATACTAAAAGGATCTCATTAAAGCATGGTTTCGTCTACCACAGAGTCTCATGGTACAGAACCATTTGTGTGGCTACAAAGGGTTCTAAAATTCTTAGGTGATGGCAAGGTGTGGGGAGGGGGATGGTCTGAGTTTCTTGCAGCTTCTTCTGATCCTGCCAATAATGTCACTGTGAATTTGGAAAGATGTCCCATATTATGCAGAGCAGCTTCTCTCGTTAGCATCTCAGAGGGAGGAAGTGAAAATGACGGAATTTATTTCCAGTGTGTGACCGTGTTCTGTCCCAGAATTACTTTTAGTTAAAGATTTAGGATTGAGCCACCACCAAAGTCGGTCTGCTGTCTAGCTGGCAATGGACTGCATGCTGAGGTGTCAGCGTGTGAGCGCTTCACAAGTGCCTGGGCCCATCAGCAGGCATCACCACCTGGCAACTGACTGACTTGAAGCTTGCGGTGAGTTCGGAGAAAGGAGTGCAATGGCAAATCTTTTTAGAGCAAGAAATGCTCCTGATGGTAGGACCTTTAAGTAGATCTTTGATTTTGTTCAGGACCTACATGATTAAAAGGGTTGTCTATTCTTTTCTAATTAAAAACTTTTTATTGAGATATAATTCACAAACCATAAAATTCACGCCTCTAAAAAGTGCAATTCAGCAGTTTCCAGTACATTCATAGAGTTGCGCAACCATCACTATCACTGAATTCCAGAACATTTTCATCATCCCATGAGGAAACGCCGTGGCCATCAGCAGTCGTTCCCCATTTCCCCGGCTCCCCCAGCCCCAGGCAACCATTAATCTGCTTCCTGCCTCTATGGATTTGCTTATTCTGGACATTTCATATGAACAGAATCATATAATACGTATCCTTTTGTGTCTGGTTTCTTTCACTTTTAGCATTCATTTCTGACCTATTCTTTGTATATCCAGTGAGGTGGGGGATGGAGAGAAAAGGGACATGCCAACTTCGGAGGTGCTGTCTCGTGACCAGTCGTCATGAGAGTTTGCCTGGCCTGCTCTGTGTTGGTTGCAGCACTTTGCTTGTTCTTCATGCTGTTTTCAGCTTCTTCCCTTATACGTAGCCAGAAATATCTAAAGTCAAAGAACGAACTTCCCTGCCTGCTCATCGTCCCATGGTAGTCTTCCTTTGAAGACCGAGTTCCCACTCCTGCCACTCGTTGACTTCTTAGAAGATCTTCCAACTTCAGCAAACCCTCATCTAAGACTGTCCTCCTTCTCTGGCTCTGTCCCTTGGCCTTATCTCAACTTACCTGTCTTGTGTTTAGGGTCCTGCTTTCAGCTAGCAGTTCGTTTGAAAAGCAATCTCACAAACGAATCCATGCCCAGGGATTAATGATGATTTTAGCTTGATGGGTCATTCTAACACAGGTTCCTGTGTTGGGGACTCTTGGAGAGGCAATGTCTCAACTCAGAGGAACACATTTCTTAGAGTGGAAATTAAATTGGGGCACTGTGGAAGGCCAGCGAAGATGTTTTGGGGTGACGTAAAGGGAGCCTTTGAGTGTCAATGCTAATACATGAGATTACACTGGGAAGGTAACCACCTATTTCATCTACGTGTAGTTTGTTTCTGGCTTTGTAGCTCCAACGCTGCTGACAAGAGGAAGGTCCTTGGTCATTTCTCAGATATTTTCAGAGCCCTCAAAGTCCACGTTCCATATGCCCCTCAGCATGCTAACTGCCCCTAAATGGGTGCTATTCCAGTTCTACTCAATCCCTAGTCAATGACAGGAGTTGAGTCCTGAGAACCATGTAGGAAATATTCACCAGTCACTGTAAAAGAAACAGTAACATCTCAAGAGAAATTTTCATGTCACATTGACATTTGTCAAGTCCAAATTACTCAAGGTACCAAGAAGTATCTGCCAGGCTCTTATTGTTTTTTCTTTCTTTCATTTTTGATGAAAGGACAAAATAAATACCTGGAGAATAACAGCATCTTGAAGAATAACAGCATGAGGTTTTTATAAAGAATAAGTCATTTCCAGTTATGCTTAATAAGTTTTCTAATAGATTCGTGAAATTAGAAGATGAGAGGGGAGCAAGAGGATATTCATATTTAAATTCTTGCAAAGCACTTGACATGGTGTCTCCTGTTTTTACTTATATAACTGTCCATGTAAGTTTTAGAAAACTGAAAAATGACCCTGAGGCCATAATCAAAGGAAGAGGAAACAGAGCCATTAATTGATGAGAAATAGTTGAAGGACTTGGGGATGTAGAGAATGAAGAAGAGAAAGCTCAGGAACCTACGGTAATCTGTCTTTGCACTTGTGAAAGTTTCTCAGGTAAACGAGGGAAGTGGCTTCTGTGCTTCAGATGTTAACATTTGCCACTACTGAGTGGATGTTTCACGAAGACAACATAAGGAAGAATTTTCAACAGAGCATTCCAAAGATGCAATGGACTGTCTAGAGAGATACGTAAGTTTTCTGTTATTGAAAAGGGTCAAACAAAGTAGAGATGATCAACCGTCAGGGATGCAGTGGGCACTACGTTGTACCAGATACCTCCATGGACTCTTTCTATCGCTAAGCTCACAGATCTGTGATATCACTTTTGTGTTACTGAAATATGTGTGTGTGTTTAAAATTTTAACACGAGAAGCAAGTCACTAGGGATACCTAGACCTAAACTATCTCATATGGAAATAAATCTATCTTAAAAAAAAAATCTTCACAGAATGTATTTTTGAGACTCCCTCAGGTTTAATTGCATGATCTTATAAGCTTCCCTTCTTTATTATTTTATCTCAATTTCTCACTGGAAGGAAGCACTAAGATGTATATGTGCAGATGAAATCTGCAGTAAACAGGCAAAGGGATACTATATACTTAAGTAACAAGAAATAATATTGTTGCTCTTGGCATGTTGCTAATAATAATCACGTAACTGACTTTTCCTTACCCTCCCCATTCAGCCAATGGGGGATCAGCCTGAGGAAATAAATGATCATCCAACAATGAAAATGAAATTATTTTTGAGGTCAGATGAAAGAAACTCAATTGGGGACAGTTTGGATCGGTAGAGCTGAGAGGAAAAATCTATAGTCTTCTAATCTTTGAAATGTCAAGGGGCATCTGGAATTGTTCAGTGTGGCCCAAAATGGAACAAGAGGATGAAAGAGAAGGAAACCTAGAAGGGCATCCAGTAGGAGCAAGCTTTATGTCCTCTCAAAATGTCATCAAACTCTGGGCCGAGAAGTACACATCTGTGGATCTTAAAACAAGTTAAACCGTATAAGACATGTAAGAGGATGCTCAAATTATTAACGTGAAGCCAGTTTCATAGATAGAAAAGTAGAAAACAGAGTAGTTAAGTTATATAATGAATAACCTGACAGAGAGTGAAGATCTAGAATGTTCTGTATCCCTTTCTGTAACAACTTATTGACGATATTGCTCTTTCATTCACAGCTTTAAATGCAACCAATAACATAATGACTATATATAGTCTGCGTTTCCAAGAAAACAGATGACTCAACCAAATAAAATGACTAATATGCACTGGAGGGGGGGCAATTAAATTAACTGATTTTAACATCAACCAAAAACTGGTACAAAATGAAGTTTCTGTCTATATACAGTAGAATTCAATGAACATTATGGTTGTTAAGCCAGCAAAGCCCCTTATATCAACTTATTTCTCCCCAGGAAGTTTAAGCCTGGAAAAGTTACAAAGCAAACATAAAAATTCTCCAATTGTATGTGAAAGATGCAATGTGTACAGTATAGGCTACCGATCAGGATAGCTACTTTTTTAAAAAAAGTGAATCTAATAAGAACTATATTAGTTTCTGAGTAAACATGACAGATAATGTTTGCTGTCACAGACTGGGTGGATGGTACTGACTGCAGTCAAATAGGGAGTTACCTGTTAATTAGGTCAAAATGATCATACATATATATATTCAATCAGCTCATTTCTCCGATGGCCAGTCAGAGGAGTGTCGGAGTAGAGAAGGAAGAACTATTTTTTTCTTCGTGAACCTAATGCAGGGAATCTTAACCATGAGTCTATGAAAGGGCTTCATCCACAGGAGGGGGGGAATGTGGGGAGAGGGAAAATATGTGACCCCTGAATTTTTTGTGAATGTTTTTTTCTGGGGAGAAGGCCCATAACATACAATAGATTCTCAAAAGGATCTGAGAATTAAAAAAAAGAATGTTAGGGGGCTTCCCTGGTGGCGCAGTGGTTGAGAGTCCGCCCGCCGATGCAGGGGACGCGGGTTCGTGATAAAGCAGAAGCTAACACACCAGTGTAAAGCAATTATACTCCAATAAAGATGTTTAAAAAAAAAAAAAAAAATGTTAGGAAGATTTGCTCTACAGCAAGTCAGCTCAGAAGAGCCAGCTAGGGAGACTCAGGCTAAGTGAGAGCCTGGGTGTATGAGCTCATGGTATGCACTCGCCTATGCATTTGAAGAGCTGTGACAGAGAGAGCAGTGTTTTGGAGTAAGAAGGAATAGAGGGATTGGAAAATATTTCACGCCATCAGAAATGAATTTTCCTTTATACTGAGAAAATCACTTCAATTAGGGTCCAAGTTATTCTATTTTAGTCTTCAAATGACTTTGTGTTGAAGGTCATAAGGTACTTTGGACTAAAATTCAAATTTGTGAACTGTTAAGGATCCTTGACGAGGGAGAGTCTCCTTGATGAATGACAATTGCTCCACCTTAGGTAAATTTGCATTTAAATTACAACGGAAAGGACTAAATTTAGCTGGGTTTTCTTTTTTGTTTTTATAGATAATCCTATGGTTTTTTCCTCTGAGGAGTTAGCTATATAGGGGCTAGCTATATAGGTTTTATAGGGCTGGCTATATAGGGTCAGCAAGACAAGGTCTCTGTCTACCGACGACGGCCAAGATCTGCATGCTTGGAAATATTCAGATGGTGAATGAATTGTTCAGTGCTCCACCCATGTTCCGCATCAGGTAGACAGAACTTCCCTAGGATTTTGAAAACAACATAGAATGTTGTATAAAACATTTGCAAATCCAGGCATACAGCCATCTTCGCTTTCCTTAGTGACTTTCCAGTAAGTAGGTGCCCAAAGGGATATATAGTGCTTGTCATGACAAATCCCGGTGAGGTATGACGTCCCGAGGTACATGAACATTTGATTGGGGCAGGGTGCTATGAATTAGCACCTCTCTAGACTCTGTAGATGTGCTTTATCTTTATAAAATCTTAATTTTACAATCTATTTTTTTATAAGTCAAGGGATTTAACAGCTTTGTTCTCTATGACAGCGTTTGCAATTATAATTAAGAAATGTATTAAAACTGGAGTGAATTAATGTGAAAAATGGATGGGGGCTTGGGACTAGAAGATTTCCCCAGCTAGCTATGAAAGACTAACTCAGTCTGAAAGACTAACTCAGTCTGCTTTGGAGGTAGATTCCAAAGCAGAGCACGAGAATCTGAAAAATTTCGAGGACTGTCCTTATGTATTCAAATTTCCATGTTTGTGTCAACATGAGTGTTAAATGAAAATGACCCAAGATTTTGCATGTGCTTTCACTGGTCTTGACTGTGCTCCATACATACAAGTTGTTCCATCACTGTCTCTATTCTCCCAGTCACTACTTTTCAGGTCAACGAGGTGATGAATGGGGCAAGAACTGTTTTGTGGAATAGTTTATAGAGTGGCACCAAAGTCCTCTGGAACATAGGGAAATTTTCAGCCTAATGCCCTGAAGGCATGTGTCAGGGATAAATCTGTCATAACCAATGAGAAGAAAGGCTCTACCAGTTTACCCAGGGAAAGGGAAACAGGTCTGTTTATCTCTACTGGGATGAGAGAGGATGTTTTCCTTTTCTAGGACTCCAGGGGACATATATTTGTGTCTTATATCCTTAGAAAGGGAGAAATAAAGCTGATTAAGCCATGGTCTATTTACTTGCTATCTTTGTGTAACTTCAAAATATGAAATACCAAAAGGTATGAATTCCTTTCAAAAGGTGCCAAAATACTTTGTACTCTCAAGAAAATTCCTAAAACAGAGGGAGAAAGCCTAAAGATGAATGCTTTAATCATTTTTTCCAATGGATTAGAGCTTTTAAGGATAAAAAAGTAATCCTTCCTCAAAATGCCACACAAACACAGACGGCCACTTTCCTTTTGATGAACTGACCACTTCTTCAAAAGACTGGACCTGGGGAACTTAGAAAATTTAGCCTTTTGGATTTGACAACACCTCTACCTGCTAGAATGAATACTAGATATTTCTGATCAGTCTTCATAGTGGCCAGAGCAGGGGTTGAGTGACTTACCTGAGCACTCAGAAGTACTGAGATCCACGTCAGTGACAGGAATGCACCCAGGGAAGGCCACACATACAGGGATGTCAACACTTCCTGGTTCTCCAAAGCAGTGCTCAAAGGTTTCTTCAAGTACGAGTAGCCATGGTGACCTATGTCTGTGTCCCTATTCCTGCATCTTAGCTGAGTACTACAATATGGGCAACTGCATTTTCTGCTTCTTCTGGCAATGCCTTGTCTCTTCCTGTTTTCTCATTCTTGCTTTTTCCTTATCCACTAAGCAAACATAGAGATTAGAGGAGACTTACCTTAATTCCAAAATACTAACGGAGTTTCCCGAGGGAAATATTCGCCTTACAAAATTGAAGTCACCAACATACACACTACCATCAGGGCCAGAAGCTAAGGCCACGGGAGCAAAGAGTTTGTTGTTGTGGGCGAGGCCATTGCAGTTGGTGCAGGCAACACTCCGTTGGTGTCCATTACCCATTATGGTTGATATGACTGGAGGCTGCTGGGAAATGAACATATTTTCTCCATTCCCTTTATGTATGATTCCTAGATCCAAGGGAAAAAAAAAAAGAATTAAAAAAATTACCACAATATTCTCAGTGATATTTTAATTTCTCATTGTTCAAAGCAGGAAGGAGAGTTGGCCTGCTATAAAAGAACTTGAGAGTGAAGCACATTGCCTCAGGTTTTATTTAACTGCACAGCTACAACAAATGGCAGCATAACACTTTGCCTCAGTCTGCCCATCTGTGAAATGGAGTAGTATACCCAGTCACTTTAATGTTGATTCTAAATGCCTCAATGAAGCATTTAATGACTAACTTTTAATGATCTCCTGTTCACTTTGGGCTCTGTGAATCATCCGTGGCTGATTTTTCATCTCTGGCTGGCTTTCTTCTGATGCCTGGCGCACACCTGTCTGACTTCAAACCACCCGCACTATGCAACGGGTTCGTGAAAAGGGAGTATCAGTCAATTTTAATATTAACCTTAGCAAAACACAATCAGGAAGGTAATCTACTTCTGTGAAAAGAAAAGAAATCATATTGCTAGAATGCACTTCAAAGATATAAGAAAAGGACTTGAATTTTCCACTCTTTTGGACCATATCTCACTATCATCAGTGCAGGAAATAGAGATACTGACTTATGACAATGCTGGAAAATACTTTGCAGTCATTTTCTTTGGGCAATCTCATCCATTCTCACGGCTTTAACTCCCATCTCTCTATGCTGAAACTTTCTCCTGTCTAGTCTAGAGTTTTCACCTGACATGCAATTTCCTAGTAGATCTCTTTACTTGGATGCCTCACAGGTACCTCAAACTCAACAAATTGAAAACTGAACTCGTTATTTTTATTTTATTTTATTTTTCTGCACTCCCCTACCAAACCCTCCTCCTCCTCCTCCTGTGTTCCCTACTGATCTTCCGAGGTATCACTAGGCATGTATTTACCCAAGTTGGGAATGTGGGCACCACTGTGGCTCTTCTTTTCCTCACTCTCTAAACCTAATTAATTACTAAACCCCCATTGAGTCTATCTCCTAAAATATGTTGAACCAGTTTCGTGGTCTCCGTTTATACCACGACTGCTTTCGTTCAGTTTGTCTTAAGTTCTTGGTCTCCTGGTCTCCATGCATACCCATCTCCAAACCACTGTCCGCACTCCTGCCATAGAGATTATTTCAATCTGTGGCTTAAAACGTTTTAATAGTTCCATACCCTCTGCGGAGTAAGGGGTCCATTCCTTATTATTAAGGAATACAAAGTCCTTCATGATTTGGCGCTTGCCTCTTTCTTCAGCCTTCTGTCTCATCGCCCTCTCATGTGTATCCCGAGCTTCAGCTACAGCAAACTACTTACAAGTATTTTCACATGCTTCCATTCCTCTCTGCTTTTTTTTTTTTTTTTTTTTAACATCTTTATTGGGGTATAATTGCTTTACAATGGTGTGTTAGTTTCTGCTTTATAACAGAGTGAGTCAGTTATACATATATATATGTTCCCATATCTCTTCCCTCTTTGTCTCCCTCCCTCCCACCCTCCCTATCCCACCCCTCCAGACAGCCACAAAGAACCGAGCCGGTTTCCCTGTGCCATGCGGCTGCTTCCCACTGGCTATCTACCTTACGTTTGTTAGTATATATACGTCCATGTCTCTCTCTCGCCCTAACACACCTCACCCTTCCCCCTCCCCATATCCTCAAGTCTGTTCTCCAGTAGGTCTCTGTCTTTATTCCTGTTTTACCCCTAGGTTCTTCATAACATTTTTTTTTCTTAAATTCCATATATATGTGTTAGCATACGGTATTTGTCCTTCTCTTTCTGACTTACTTCACTCCGTATAACAGACTCTAGATCTATCCACCTCATTACAAATAGCTCAATTTCGTTTCTTTTTATGGCTGAGTAATAGTCCATTGTATATATGTGCCACATCTTCTTTATCCATTCATATTCCATATCCTCTCTGCTTTTTTAAAAAAATTATTTATTTATGGCTGTGTCGGGTCTTTGTTGTGGCACGTGGGCTTCTCTCTAGTTGCCGTGCAGCATGTGGGATCTTAGTTCCTCAACCAGGGATTGATCCCGCGTCCCCTGCACTGGAAGGTAGATTCTTAACCGCTGGACCACCAGGGAAGTCCTTCCTCTCTGCTTCTGTACTTCGCTAGTCCCTCTATCCCGAATGCCTTCCTCATCTTGTTTGTTTGGGAAACTCTTACCTATCCTCCAAAGCTCAGCTCAGTTCTTCCCCAATGCTCTATCCAGCCAGAATTAGTTACTTTCTCCTCTGTACGTGCAGTTTTCCATAGCTCTAACACTTGCCACATGTATGATACAGTTTTCATTACTTCTCTATCTTCCCCGTTAGAACATGAGCTCCTTGAAGGCACACCCTCTGTCTTACTCCTTCCTGCGTTTCTGTGCCCATCCCTGTGGCCAAGTTGTTATAAGTGCTCAGTAAATGTTGAAAATAAGCTTTGAGTCTCTTATAGTTTCCTTGTCCAAATTCCAATGATCTGGAAACCTGCTGAGCCTGGGCAGAAAACCCAAGGAACAAGTACTGCTGTGCTAAACAGCTCAAGTCTGCCCAGAATGAGCCAGGACAGGTAAAAAAAAAAAAACAAAGCCATGTGGTGAGAAGGCATGCCAATGTGTCAGGCTGAAGTAACTGACAGCAAATGAATGAATGCAGTTATCCTGTCCAGTCTTATTTTTTCTCCCATGACCCCTGCTATCTATCTCCTCGGACTACCTGTTACTCTCCCTAAACATTTCCTGAAATGTCTCCCTCGGTTTTCTTCCAACTTTTAGTCCTACAATAGAAACTACTGATCACTCTGAAATAGGAACGTTGCTGGCAAAAATAGGTAAGAGGGTAAAACATGCACAAAACCATGGCACCAGATATGAACCTAGAAGGGGCCTCCCAGGAAACAGAAATCCCATACTCATATAGCCTTTGGATTTCAAATCTAAAGTAATTTTACTTTCCCTCCCAAGGTGATTTCTGGCTATTTTTTCAACATATGATCTGCAGGACCAGCTATGAGCTTATGCCCCAACAAATTGGTCTGTCATTGTAGAACCATGAGATAGATATCTTGAGGCTCACTACTTTGTTATTTATTTTATTAATAACTTTATTAGGCAGTAAAGAAATTTCTTAAGACTTAGAATAGTTAATTAAGTTAGATTAATAGGATGGAATTTCATTTCTCAAAAAACACTTAATTGCAATGTGATCAATACTGCAATTTAAATGAATTGGGAGAAAGTGAATGAGAACTGGCATGACAGTTGCACAACATCATTGAAAAGAAATCTCCTGATGATCACTCACTGAATATCCTACCAATGAGACTATGATATGTTCTTTAATAAATGAGAAAACCAACTGTTTAGCATGTCAGTATTTCAGCAATACACTACAGGGTATATCATTCAAAAATATTTCCAAGTATGGGCTTGGAAATAGCAGATTTGCTATTAACATCTATTTTCACAGATTTTTTTTATATTAATATAATGCTATAGCTAACAATTACCTTCAAAATGACATGTTATTACCAGGCTCCTGGCAATTTAAAAACTAAGATGGCTATTCTAAACCATTCTTCTAAGCCTGCAATTCTAAAACTCCTCTTTTCTATTAGAAAGCCCAGCACTCCATCTAAGGAAGAAGAATGATTAAAGGAAATAAAACATAAGGCAATGTACTTTCTGATTACATCTCAACAATTGATGTCTTGCTTTTATGCAAGGTACTAAAGTGCCCGTGTACTGAAATTACCATTCCTGTTTAAAGCTGAAGCAATCAAAACAAAAATGGGCAAACCCCTTTTGTATTGCCCTGGAAAGATAGATCATTTTGAAGGGCGTTTTTGTTGTTTCAAGAATCTGTTTAACCTTCCATTACATAGAGCCGGGGCATATACCATCGAGCAACAACGATTTAACACCAATTCTTCCACAAAAGGTTGCTTTGAAAATATTTTGTTTATGTTCCTGGAAATCTTGATCAACTACTGCTGCCTCCTTTCCGGTTTATTCTGCCACACATGCTCATTTTGAAAACAGAATCAAATGATCCTGAGACTACACACATTATTTATATGAAGGCCAACTTCCTGCTAAGGATTGGGTGTCTTGTTTACAGTCAACAAAGAAATCCCACTGGCTGGAGCCCTACAGCACATTTTCTCCCCCAAGGTTTCCTTTCCTCTGCCAAAAAGTCAAGCCTGTTGTAGAGTAAGTTAAGCATACTTTTAAACACACTACTCATACCTTCCTGCTACCTTGCTCAGAACTTCTTTTGAAGCTTATAAATAAGCTTGAAATAAAAATTCCCCTTGGGAGCCAGTGGGTGGTGCTTTATGCTGATTTCAAAGAAGAAACCATTTTTCAGGCTTATGAACAACATGGGACCCAGTACATATTTCTCTTAGGACCTGACTGAGAGGATATAAACACAAACTGGGAGATATGCCAACGTGATCAATGGAAACTTACTTGTCCTCCCACTAAAACCATTTGCCAACAAACTACTGGCCTATCTTGGAGGCTAAGTTAAAGGAAATTCTTTATCCATTTCAGACAGATGACAATACCCAATTAGAACCCTGGATTGTTTTTTCTAATAATTTCGAACACTCAACTGGCATAATTTTAAAGAACTGATTTATCTTAAAAGAATAAATATGTACTCTCTGTAATCACTAAGAAGATGTATTTTGAAGGAATAATATTGAAAAACACAAGTTCCTAGTTTTTTTGTTTTTAATCTCACAGTGAAAGCAGGAACCATCTCGACATATCAGGCATAATATTTGGAAACAATGCTCCACAACCAATGGTTAATTGTCAGGTAAATACAATGGCTGCAACTGAAATGACAAATGGTCTGAAAACACTGCCTACTAGAAACTACCCGCTGCATAATGATTTTGGAGCCAAAGAAAAACTGCAGAATTGAATGGCAGCAGACATCCAATCTAATTACAGGTGTCTTTTTAACCAGCGAGAGGAAATTGGGGGAAGACAGATTCTTGTTTCTAATCTGCTATCTGTCTCAGATCAAAAAAGCGGGGTGCCTGAAGAGTTAGGCTCTGGCCTTAATCAGTCAGAAAAGACTGTCTGACCTGAGAGGGAAAGAAGC